ATAAAGACTTGGTATTCAGAAAATACAAAAAATCCCTTAAATTTAAAATTTCAGATCTGGAAATCCACACGTCTCAAGTCTCTAAATATCAGTAAAAATAAGCCTCCGGTTTAAAAACCATTTACTAAAGCTATATTCGTATAAGACTGAGTCAATGTTATTTAGTAGGAGGAAATTCCATGAGAAAACTAATATCCTCAATAGCATTCCTTCCTTCCTAAGACTCTTAGACTGTTGAAATAATGTGCAGTTTGTGGTTCTCTTTGCTACAGAATATGTAAACAGCTGAGGAAGAAGATGAATCTTCTTACATCTGCAATACGCTATAAAACTCAGGCATATTTGTGAAACAAACATTTATACGTTCCAAATAAATCTTTCGTAACATATATTCTGCTGAATAAGAAAAAAGTTACCCAGCACTCTTCAGAAGAACATTAAAATCTTTAAAGTACAAAATAGGTAATCACAAACACACTACCTACTGCCAACACTCTGCAGCTCTAAGTCCTTTCTCAGATTTGCATCTACACATCCAAAGCCTCCCACTAGCTTTCTCTTCTATTCTTCAATATTATAGTAGGACAGATATGAACCCCCCAAACTTCAAAGCCTTAAACATTTAAAAGGAAACACAGATAATATTCTCCCATTATATTTCAATAAACATCTTCAACCTGCTGGTTGAAGCTTTCTACTTAGGCTTCTTGGAAAAAGCCAAAACTGGCAATTGATTTGAGCTGGAAGAATGAGAGTCTTACAGAGCTGGATGTATACTACGCAAGCAAATGATGCATGCTTGACCCATGGATTTAAGCATAAGTCAAGATATATACAGAGCTCGCATCTTCAGCTTAGCTTTCTCACACCTACATAGCAGCAATACAGCTAAGAGCAATCAAGCTGCCTTACTGTTTGTTTAGGTTGAGACGGATGTGTGAGATCTCAAGCCTTGCTTCACTGTTTAAAGAACTTGAGAATTATGCAGACATCGCGATAGGAGCGATTCATGAATATGTTTGTATTTCAGCTAAAATATAGCAACATGCTTCAAAAAGTCTCTCTCCACAAAACAAGCTAAAAACAAAAACCCTCAAACAGCAGAAGCTGAGGAACAAAGACATTTCAAGATATGACACTGCTAGAGTGAAAGACTGCACAACTTAAGTCTGGAATTATGACCTACACTAAGGAGTGCCTTGGCACTTTGGTTTGCAATGTAGAAAATTTGAACTAGAATTATTTTAAAAAGTGAATTATCAATCCAAAGTTAGTGAAACAATTTTCAGTGGGAAAAAAAAAAAACCAAAACCAACAACCAACAATAGATGCTTCAGAGCATCTGATAGCGTGAAGTCCGTAAATGACAAAGCACACTTAAAGAACAAGGGACTCTATCAGAAACCTCCATAGTGTCTCTCTGTCATAAGTGTGATATGAGTAGTACCTAACCAGGGACATGGGGTAAGACTGTTCCCCTCTTTCTGTCTTCCCTGTGAATCTAAAACACTCTGTAATAATACCATATACATTATTTGAGCCATTTGTTACAGAAATCTTTTTGAGCTTTATTAACAAATTAAATGAAATGTTTTCAGCTGACTGGTCTATAGGAAAGAGAACATATCTTAAATTCATGTTGGATTTTTTTTTCCTGAGAAAAGATGAGGAAATTCCTTAAAGAGATCAGTGAAAAGTCAATGTTGGCTCAAAATACATCTGCCACTGTGCACTGCAAATCATATTTGACAGGATAAATTATATTAATTAGATCAGTACAGTCTTCTTTGGTACCTCACAAACTATAGGTACACTTGGTACAACTATGGAACAAGCAAATTATATTCATAGCCAAATATCATCCTTATTGCTATCTGTGAAATACCAGCACCAGGTAAGCATCAAGAAGAGATTAAAAATACCCTGAACTCCAAAAACATTATATATTTCTAGAATATCTATAGAAAACAAAAAGCACAAAAAGCTCAAACAGTAACAGCATCTGTACAGGCTGGTCTGTTCCAGAAAACTGAAGACACTCTTAATGAGTTAAAACTCTGTATCGTCATTCCACAACAATAGTAATTGACAGCTAGATCCCACCTATTATATTATCTGAATTTATTGTAAACTATGCTAAACTAAGTTCATGGTAACTGAACAACAAAAAGCAGCAAAAATAAAAATCACTGTTATAGCAAACAAAGAACTCTGCAGCATCCCAAGACTCTAAAAACATCAGAAAGAAGAGGCAAGAATTATTCCCTTCCCAGCAAATATACCAAAGTATAAAAGTCACGTGTGACAAGATATACCAGTTCCCAAATCCAGAAAGAATAAGCATTTTAAGAAACCACTCTTTAACTACACTGACTTTACTTTTAGATTGTTTAAAATAAAGCAACAGATATTTTTCAAGTCACTAAACTCTTTGTAGAGCAAGCAGATATTTGATAGAAGTAATTTAGACACTGTAAGATATCACACTCTATGCGCAGAACTTTGTTGACCTCTGCTAAAAAGCCTACATGACAAGTCAAGGTTGATTACTTGCACAGACTGTACCTCTGCAGAGCAAACAAAGCAGATAAATCATTACTCTGATCTTTCCAGACCACAAATCTGTCTATGAGTATAACATGTTCAGGTAAACTTGATAAATAAATACAGTGGAAAGAGTAAAATACAGTCTAGAACTTTACACAATGTAAATCACAGTAATCCCACAGATGTCTATGCTAATTCAAAATCTTAAAATGAGAGCAATTCCAAAATATTTTAACTCTGTCTCCCAATATATGTTCTACGCCTATAATGCTGTAAAGCAATGGAAAATGCAGCAGTGATAGTGGAGTAGCAAAGTCATAGGCTACGGTGAGGATAATCTCAAACGCAGCAGCTGTAGACGCAGAAACAAAGGAAAAAATCTGCTTACCCCTGAAAAGCCTCAGGTAGATAGGGAGCTCCAGCAACATACCCTTGCCTCCACTGCCAACCCTTGATGAGGACTGAGGCTTCCAGTCACTCCAGTGCATTGCATACACCTGAGCTCCCCTGGGTTGGCCCTGCCTTTCCACCAGGTGCTCAATCACTGTTTCAAGCCATGACTTAGCCTTTCCACTACAGTACTTTATGCCCTACCATTCCTTCCTTCCTTATTCCTTACCTCCTTTACAGAAAATCTTGACACTGTGTCCAGCTACCTTTTGATTTTCACATCAGTATACCTGGTACACACTGCTCAGAGTACAGTGGACCTCTTTCACGTTATCTGAGTAACAACATACGGACAATCATCTCTATAGAATTTTTTACTGGTTTATTATTAACAGAGTAATTTGGCAGCAATTGTTTTCTAACTGTTTTTCATTGTTATGTTTTGTTTTGCTTGTTTTATTTTTTAGTTAATTAGCAGTCTGATCCTCAGTGTTTGACTATGGCTTACACATCAATGACTACGTCTAAAACGACTGTTAATTCTATAGCGATATTCCACCCCACTGATATCAGGATTAAAAAGTATTAAGAGAGTGCTAAAGGAAGAGCTACTGTTATCAGAGACTGTTTCACACAAATCTTTATGCTAACTGATTTCATGACCTAAACTGGGCAAGTACCTATTCCTTTCTTACCATCTTCTCACGTCCCTATACCTCACCTGCATTACAATATTCAGCTCCTTCCCTATTCTTTACTATTTTTCTAACTTCTTTACTGGAGTGGTCTCCTTGGTCCAATTTCTGACAAGGAGTATGTGAGCAGCAAAGACATGAATAATTTTGTTATGGGGAGAATTAAATATACATAGTATGACTATCGATTTTTTATTATCTTCCTTCTTATTATAATAACCACTTCCCATGCCTAACAACTGTTAGGCCAAGTGGTTTTGTGGCTCATATTTTTTGTTTCTTAAGTGACCATCTATCCTGTTACATTCCACATTGATTTTCTCAGAAAATTTCAATCTTTCCCCAATTCCGAAAACAAAACTTTAAAAAAAAAAAAAAATTGCAGTCCTTTACCAGCTACTTTAATTTCCTGATCATTTTATAATGCACAAATTAATACTGAGTGTCTTAACTTATATTTCGAAGGCTTCCCTGAGGCTACATTCAAACAGGCTCTCCATAAGACACAAAGCCTTCAAGTATATACTGAGGCTCTTAGCATGGGATCCTGCATGCCTGTGGTACTCAGCAGCTCACTGTGCTACCAAGCACACTTGACAGATTTCGAAGTTCTGCTAGTGAAAGGAAAGGCATACAGAAAGCACAGTGCTGATTTGTACTTCCATGCCCAACTGTTGCACAGGTACAACCATTTCAGAAATGAATAATGAAAGATTACAAAGAAAAGTAAATAGTTTATCTATCAGGAGTACTATTACCATTTTTTTAATAATACTTTTCACAGCTACACATTAAAGTTATGTTCATGCAACCATCATAAGCTATCTCCTATACAAGCCAATCACATAAAATGATTTTAGTAGTTTCAGGATTTTTGCCTCATAATGACAGACCTAATGTGGATATTACTATTAGCATTACGGGTATGAGACAAGCTGATAAAAAAGTGCTGTTGTAAAATAGCCTGCTCATTAAGTGAGAGGAAGCTGTGCCCTGGAACATGCATCAGTATTCTGTAGTGAATGCTTAATCATCTGGATGCTTCACAATACTCATGATTGCTAACAGGGAAATGCTTAACGTTTGGGAAACTACAGAAGAAGAAAGCAAGCCCTCTGGTGAAAGGTGCAATCAAACTCCTGTGTGCTGACACTAATCAATGAACCATCCTTGTTTTGAGGATAAATGGACAAAACATATGGAGGACAAAGCACCTACCAAAGATTAATATCCATATTATACAGAATTCAAGTCTCCTGAGACCCAATATAGTAGCACTTAAGCTCCACCAGATATTTTACTAATGCTTTCCTACTGAAATAAGGCTTGGAACAAAAGTTTACCAATCATCAGGAAGATAAATCTCACCTGTATGAGATAATGAGAGCATAAACTGAGAAGCTCCAGCAGCTGCAAATGACTCCCAGCTGCTAACACATCCTGTATCACCCCTGGCTCCAAAAGGATCTGTAAAAAAGAAAACAGAGAGTTTGTTATGTAGACAATTTTTTGATAACTCAGACATTTTAGTTTACATAAAGAACAGAAAGAGTAAAACAAAAGCACACAGAGAAATCTTTGCAGGACAGGAACAGAGGTTTTGGAGTTCAACTGAGTTACCCAAGGATTTGTAAGCAGATTTTCCTGTAAGAATTCATAAACCATTCTACCCTCAAATCCTTTAAAATGAAATGCTTGCTATTTATATAAAAGGAGACTTTTCAAAATAACAGAACATATTTTAGTTGTATCCATACGTGCTATATCTGGTTGTTTCCATATACACTGATAAATCAGACCAATAGAACTGCCTGAGAAATCTCCAGAATCAATATTATTTATTAATGTAAAAATATACAGACTGGAAACACCCCTCCCATTCTGCATGGTACGCTACTTCATAGTTTTCCTAGCCTCTCTCTTCATTTTACAGGACGAGGCTGTGAAAGCACGGAGTGAGCGTGCTGCTGGGAAAGTGCCAGAAAGGGCTTAGAAACCAAGACTGATTATCCTGTCACTACCTCAGATGAAACTCCTACTCATTTCAATTAAAATCACACACAGGCAGCAGCCAGGATAATTGGACCTCAGTTCCTAGCCTGCTGTCTTGGGGTCAGCTTGTTAGAGCATCCCTCTCAGGACACAAAAAGTCTTTGAGAACACAGACACCGGTCAATCCCTTTTAACAGCATCCACATTACAAACCATCTAAACCAGTAAAATAAAGATAAGTGATGTTTCATCCAACAAAAATCACAAAAGAATGAGAAATATTATTTCTTCAAAGATATCTCATTTATTCCATTTCATGCTTGTTTTATTTCCCCTGGTAACTTTGGTTTTACACCACATGAGGTCAGTCTCTCACTGCTCCAGTGGGAAGTAAAGCTTTTTCAGATCCTTTTTCTTCTGCCCCTACAATTTAGTTTTGACACACAGTATCACTTAAGCATCTCAAAAGCAGTGGAGTATGGAGGATAGCATACAAAAGGTAAGATACCCATCTGCAATTTTTGCAGTTAAATTGCTTTTGAGGGAAATTAAGAAATATGTATGCATTTCTTCAAACAAAATAACTCAAGTGACCTCCAACATAATGGATATTTTAGGAAAAAGAAAGAAAAGGATTGATACTTATTTATATCAAGAACTTTCTTAAATTTAGAACAGGTGGTGTATGACATGTTTAAGTTTGTGCAAATCCCTATATATTTATACAAAGTTTTAGGTGAACATGCATGTAATTTGCATGCAGTAAAATGGTTTATTTGTGTAGCCAAACAGATACGTAAAGATGTTGATGTAAATGAGAATTAAGTCCAGAAAAATGCAGGGTTTTGGCTGATTAAGTAGTGATGCATAAGAGGCAGTTCAAGGGAAAGACAAAAAGGGTATCAGTTTCAAAACAAAAATATCACCAACAGGTACAGTTAAAAAATTGTGCAGCACCACAAATTATTTTCAAGTGAGAACTCAAGGTCAGACTGACAAAAAATCTGTTCAGATCTTGCAACATCTTATTCAGACAGCATTTACACTGAGCAACCTCTGTCATCTGAACTGACACTGTTTTGCTTATTAAATGCCAGCCACCAGCTTAGAAGTGTTAAAGATGAAATACAGGAGAAACGGAACACTAAACAGATTACTGTCTTGTAGGCACAGATAAACTATAGTTAACTGCAATACCATGAATGTATTTTAAAGCTACATCAGTCCGTTTACAAATAATACTTGTAGCTTTATGAGATGAGAAATAAGATGAGAGGTAAGAAAGATGCATCCTTACTTCTTAGAGGTGATCTGCACAAAATCATCAACAAAGTTAATTTTAAGGTGGCAGAACATATTTTTTTTCAGTTTTCACACATTTCCTATATCGTACAAGATGTATTCCACTGAGATAACATATTCAACATATTTTCCAAGAAAAATGAGGAAAGCCTATTCAATCTCTTCCCAAATTTCACCTTGAACAGAACTATCTGAATTTTTATTAAATACTCATTTGAATATTGACAACTATACTAGTTCACCATCAGCAAATTGATGCTGGGGACACCCATAAGAAAAGAAAAACAGTAATTAAGAAGGAAAAAAATATATTACAAGCCCTCCTTCTATTGAAACCAGGGCAATCCACAATTATTCCACACCTCAATTTTTATTAATACAGTTACTAAATTTCTTTTAATCTCCAGTATAGCTGCTTATTGTATCCTCTATATGCTCTTCAGCTGAATCTCAACAGCAAATGAACATAAATACCCCCACTAGTACAATACAAGAACACACTGACCAATTCTCCTCTCTTCATCTAACTCAAAGAATAGCTCTGAGGTCTTCAGAGTGACACTAATTAAAAATCAACAAGAGGGAAACTAAGATCTGCTTTGGATTCAGTTTCAAAATTGATCACAAATTGTTTCTGTGGAAACTAAAGAGTGAAGCTTAGTCACTTTCCCTGTTTCGTACTCAGCCCAACAGTTATGAAGTATAATTACCAGGGCAGAAACTCAGGAGTAATTACAACCATCAACTCCAGACAAATTTTGCTAACATCATCACTAAGACATGTGCCTTTGTATGACAAATGCCATCATAAGACTGGTTTCTGTGCTATTTTTATATTAATTAGATGTAATTCATGTATTGCACCTGGCAAAGTTCTTTGGGCTCTCAACTTTTCCCTGGCCTATGTTGCTACCCAAGAAAATGAGCGTAATCACCTTCTACCTGTGTACTACAGGCAGATCTTGCAGACAGCCTTGGCAGCTTAGTTTTTCAAGCCCCTGGTATGACATATTGCTTATATTCAAATTGATCTGATGTAAAAATATGGTGTTTCTTTGCAACAGAATGTTCACAGCATCCGGATTACACAATTCTTAGACCCATGATTTTTAGAGATAGAATAAAAATCCACATGGAAGTGCATCTGTTCATGCTCGGTTGATATACTGAGGAAAACTGCTCTTTAAATGTAGGTATTACAAACTTTTGTAAATTAAGCCAGACTTTCTGAAGCACAGTTCTGAGGCAGAACATGTTAATTTTAATCAGGTTCACAGTCACAAAAACTATGGTCATGTAGCCTTGAGCAACTCCATTTTCATCTTCCTCTGGGAAGTAGTTCTCAATTCATTCCTTCTTCCCCCACGACATTCCTCTTCTTCCCAACTCATCTTGCCTAGCTCAGTACATCTTAGGGCTCCAGGCAACTATGGAGAAGATTAATCAGGATCACACATTTTGCCTCTCTCTTCAATATTTTCATTAGGACAATTCCTGGTAACACAAAGCAACTCATGGCTATGATTTCTTGGGCTAGGAGCAGTATTAGAACCACTGTCCTTTTTCAAGGACAATGCTGGGACAAACAGTCATACCCCATTTCCATGCAGCTCAAACTAAGACCCTTCTTTTATTCTCTTAATACTTTTATTTATTTATTTATTTATTTAAATAACCAACCATTCAGCATAAGCCTACCAAAAAAAATTGCATGGTTATAGCAAAGACAGAAGCAAGAGGTGGAAAGCAGTGATGAAGAAGCCCCTTTAAGTTGTCCTTCCCAACAAATAAAACTTACAGCCTAAGAAGGCAATCTCCTGGTTCACTGTCAAATCCTATGGAGTCTCAAGGGATATTTATCTGGAAAAAATAACTAGGTCATTCAATCTATTCCCCATTTACTGCTGGCTATTAAGCTATAACAGTAAGGAAATACATGATGTCATATCAGAAAGTAGTAAACCATATGGAATATACCACATAAAACAGAAAAAAAAGTCCTAAAATTCCTGACAGCCTAATGCAAGAGAAAATTCCTTCTTGACTCCACTTGCAATGATCAGCATTTCAAACAAGACAGGCATCAAACAAAAGCACCATTTGTTTCTCCCCTCTGGAGACTATTCTGTGTGCATCAGAGCAATCAAAAAAGTAACTTTTCTTTTAGAGCACTTCAGAGTGCATTTTACTCACAACCAGTTAGCACTTCTGCCTGTCTCAGAGCTCACTGGTGTTTCACTTCAATTCTGTATTTCCTACATGTTGAGAAGGGCTGCTTCAAAATAATGTGAGCAGGGCAAGAGTGCTCCAGTGCCCTGCAGGCAACTGCCCAAAGCATGGGCACATAATGTTTGATAACTTATTGCAAAACCCAGATGTCTCATTAGTCAATGCCAGAAGGAATCATGACCAGCATTTCTCTGATACTTATCAGAGTATTTGTTCAGAAAACTCAAAGAAAGTCTATGTTAAATGCACAGCATATAAACTAAGACTCCAAGCAAATTCACTTTTTCTTTGGTATAATGTCTCAGTACTTTAATTACTTTCAACTCCAGAAAAGCTATCTTATTCATAACTTGGTAACTTATCCAGAACAAACAACGTGAAACATTAAACCTTAACTATAAAAAACAAGTTAAGTGAATGAGTTCCATTTTATTCTAAGCCTTCTAGGGTTTAATTTTGGGTGGTGCTTTATAGAGCAAGGAGTTGGTCTTGATGATCCTTGTGGGTCCTTTCCAACTTAGGATATTTTATGATTCTAGGCAGAGAAACAATAATATCTTCCTGTTAACTCAAGTTTATACTTTTTAACTTTGAAACCACATTGAAAATGATGATAAAATAAATATTTTCAATAAGATATACTCCAATAGGAATAGATACATTTTTCCAAGACCTTTGCATGTTGCCCCTTGGAGAAAAGAACAAGGATATTTGAAGTCATCAGGCAGTGTAGTTAAAATCTGTCTTTTTGTGAAAAGGCAACCAGTTGAACTGCCAGACACGGGAACTGGGAGGTCACTTATACAAGAAAATCAACCACCATGATACAGCTTTGCAATACACCTCACCCACAAATGGGCTAGAATAGATTTAACAGAGTAAGAGGTACTAAGAAAGCTGCTTCCCCTCAATCTTAACTGAAAATGGCAAACGAAATATTGGTT